TGGGGGGAAAACACCTCTAACGAGTTTGGGGCCCAGTAGCCCCATGCTGTGGCCGTCCTTAACCAGGCCGGCAGGGCACAGGGAGGCCCCGCGCGGAGCGAGCTCAGGGTGACCTTTCGAGTAGCGAGCATGCAGGGACACTCAGGTCTTCCTGGGCAGGGACCTTGTCCTGGGATTGCACGTTGCTCTTCACCTGACGGGCAGTCCCCGGGTTGCCACCAGCCAGCTGACGTACCACCCGTAGTTACCAAACAGCTTCTTTTAAAACTTAAAACAGAAATGCTTCGTGACCACAAGCAGGCCCCACGAGATGATGGGCATCAGACCACCGAGATCATCGCTGCTAATGTACTGTCATGTTAAGGATGCACGAGTGTGTCCGAAGGAGTTTCTTTAACATCTTTACGCATAGAAAGGCACTCCGCATAGCAGGCGACCCAGCCGGCTCTCTACCAGGTATGGAAATGCCCTGAAGAAATAGGGAGCAAAACACCAGCAGACGCGGGCGCACACAGGCTCACCGCAGCACCAGCCACAGCAGCGCGGCCACGGAGACTGCCTGAATGCCCACCGGTGGGGGACAGACATGGGAACCTGGGCACGGACACACAATGGCCCGCTGCTCCTCGCCAAAGAAGAACCGAGAGACCATCCAACACCTCGTGGCGTGGACGGAGTTGGAAGGTACTGTGTTGAGCCATGGGGGCAGCCCCCTAAAGACAAATACTGTATGAGACCACTGTTTTAAAAGGGGGGGGGGCATCAAGAAAAGTGGTTTTCACGTCAAAAGAAACAGACTTTCATGGTTATGAAGAAGCTGGGGAAAGGGGAGGGGGCACGGAGAAGAGAGGGAGGGGGAAGAAAAGAAATTTGAAAAATGCATTTGAAAAAAAGGTATGTGGATGGTAACACCTATAGATAGGTCCATAGATTGTAACACATAGACGCATAGATTATAGCACACACATCGATGCATAGATTGTAACACATATGGATGCACAGTTAGATTGTAGTGCATCGACAGATGCGTAGATTGTAACACACATAGAGACGTGCCTAGTTTGTAACATACATAGACAGACACACATGGGTTAACATAGATAATAACATACATAGACA